TCCTCGAATATGCAGCGACGTGCAACGATCCCAGTGGCTTTGAGGTCCGCAAACATGTGGGTGAGGCACATGAAAAGACGCGACATCCGGACGATTGCGAGGCGACGCAAACGGGCAGCCTCAGGGGGTGGAATGAGGCGCGGCAGCTTCCCCCGACCCGATTTTCGGTCCCCTTCGAGTCACAGAGCGTCGGGAATCGTTCGTCATGGGAGCGACCAGATGCCCTCGCGGCAGCTCTTCGACTCGAGCCGATTTGATCGAGATCACCTCACCGGCTCCGAGAGGCGCGCGGCGCCGCGGGCGACACGGTGCTCACCGCGCAATGCACGAGGCCGTATGTGCGACCAAGCCCGGACAGCCCCCTCGGGAGGGACATTCCAGGGGGTGTTTCTTCGAAGTTGGTCGCACATACGGGACCTCAGCACTAATGCGAGCCCCTCGTCGGTCGCCCCCCACCGATAACCGCCGTTCTCGTCGTCCACGGGCTGCCCCGACGCGAACTAAGTTGCTCCCCATCGACCGATGGTCTTTCCCGAGCGACTCGCAGCCGGGCCCAAGGCGCGACATGGTCCACAGACCGAGCGCCGCGCCAAGTCCTGGAACCGCTGCATCGCGTGCCCAACCTGGGCGAGGCAGCTCGGAGTCAACCAAGTGATGTCACGCCGAGCGTCAACATGGCAGAGTATCGACTGCAACTCGCACTTTCTTGACTGTTTGTTGCGGCGAGGCATGGGCGCCGCGAGCAGCTCGTCGTAGCCCTCGTGGTCGAGCATGCCGACGGCCCGCCCAGCGCTCTTCTTGCTCGCGGCGCTCCGCGCCGCAACGCCGTTCCACGCCCGGCCCGTCGCGGTCCGACGGCCCACGGCGCGCCGCTCCGAGCCGGAGCCCTACGAGGCCTACGACCCCTACGAGGAGAACCTGTGGCTCGACGACGGCGACGAGGAGGCCCTCACCTTCGGCAACGAGCAGCTGACGCTGTCCGGCGAGGGCAACGCCTTCGGCGACTCCACCGTCGCGGACGTCGCCGACGACTACCGGTTCCCGATATCCTACGTCGCCGACGCGATCCTGGGCTTCGGCATCCCGCCGCCGATCCGCGACGACGCGCGCATTGCCGACATCTTGGACGCGGACCAGGCCTTCGCGCTCCTCGAGGCCGTGACGTCGCTCGACGCCGCCGAGGTCGAGGACGCGTACGTCGCCTTCGACCTCGCCCGGGTCGCCGGCCTGCTCGAGGCGCCGCTGGCCGAGGTCTTCGCCGCGTGCGTCGACGAGGGCTTCGGGCTCCCCCACGGCGTCGAGACGCAGCTGCGGCGCGAGCAGTACGAGGCGCTGCGGAGCCGCTTCGGCTTCGCGGCCTACGCGCCGGACCCGCTCGACAAGGTCTACGAGGACTTCGGCTTCAAGCCCCTCGACGAGACCGCGGAGCCCCTGGACCCCGAGGCGCGGAAGATGCCGGAGTACGTCCAGGACGCGGACCGGCCGACCTACCAGGACGGCGCGTAACTTACGTCGACGTGGGCGCGTCGGCCGCCGACGGCGGCGCGGGCTCGAGCAGCGCCGCGCGGCTCTCGACGATGGCCACGGCGAGGGCGTAGAGCGCGGCGTCCGCGGGGTTGCGCTCGCGGATCTCCGCGACGAGCTCCGCGTCGACCGCGGCCCGCGGCGGATCCGGCGGCAGGTGGTCCGGCGCCGCGACGAATTTCGACTTGCGGCCGGGCTCGACGCGGCGGGCCCAGTCGCCCCGCGTGAGGGCCCAGCCGAGCTCCGCGCGCGCGAGCGCGAGCGACGCGTTCGGCCGGTCCGCGCTGAGGAGCACGACGGTCCGGTCGTCGCAGAGGTTGCGCCGCGCGTCCTCGAGGGACGCGCCGCGCCAGAACTGGCCGTAGCGCAGGCCGGAGACGTACTGCGACATGCGCTCGTGCGCGGGGTTCCCGGGCCAGTTGACGAACTCCTTGAGGCCGAGGCTCCGCGTGCCGTTGAGGTGCGCGAGCATGCGCGCGCGCAGCAGCGTCACGAAGGCCGCCGTGGCGTCGCGGGTGCCGCGGTGCGCGTAGTCCCACTGGAGCTGCTGCACGCAGTTCTTGCGGGAGACGCAGAAATAGTACTCCGAGAGCACGCGCTCCACGGGGTCCCTCAGGTTCACGACGACGACGTCGACGGGCGCGCGGCGCTGCTTCGCGCTGTAAAAGCCCGCGCCCGTGCGCACCTGGTGCCAGTCGTGGTGGTCGCCGTGGCTCCACTCGTCGAAGGCCGCGAGCCGCTTCTTTTGCTTGTCCCAGAGGGCGCAGAGCGCCGTGCTGCCCGTCTTTTGGATGCGGACGAGGCCCACGGTCTCGTTGGTGCCGCCGCGCAACCGAGGGATGGTGCCGCGGCCGCAGGCGTCCGTCGCGGCCGGTGGGGCCGCGACGGCGACGGCCGCGAGGACGAGCACATGAGGCAGCCTCATGCTCTGCCGCATCACAACTTCAACTAAGAGACGTTTACCCCCCGGGCAGCATCGCGGCCCGGGTCTCGACGATGCGCCGCGCGCGGTCGTAGAGCGCGGCGTCGCGCGGGTTGCGCGCGCGGATCTCGGCGCGTAGGTCGTCGTCCACGGCCTCGCGCTCGGGGAACGCCGCGAGGTGCTTCGGCGCCGCGTCGAAGTGGATCGAGCCGGGCGCGCGGTGCTTGGCCCACTCGTCGGCCGTGACCTCCCAGCCGAGCTCGGCGCGCGCGAGGGCCAGGGACGCGGCCGGCAGGTCCGCGCTCAGGAGCACGACGACGCCCGCGTCGCAGAGCCGCGCGGCGGCGCCGTCGAGCGAGACCCGCGAGACGTTCGCGCTGCGCCCGTAGCGGTAGCCGGAGACGTAGTGCGCCTGCCGCTCGTGCGCCGGGTTCTCCGGCCAGCGGAGCCACTCCAGGAGGCCCAGGGGCGCCTCGCCGAAGACGTGCTGCCGCATGCGTCTGAAGAGCGCGGACACGTTCTTCGAAGTCCGGTGGCTGTAGTCCCACTGCGTCTGTTGCACGCAGTTGAGCCGCTCGCTGCAGAAGTAGTATTCGCTGAGCACGCGCTCCACGGGGTCCCGCAGGTTCAGCACGACGACCTCCTTCTTGGGCAGCAGCTCGCCGTGGACGCGCGCGGGCGCCTTGAGCTTGCTCCAGTCGTGGTGGTTCAGGTGGGACCACTCGTTCCAGACCTTGCGGTCCCCGCGCCGGATCTGCAGGTCCCAGAGGTGCGCCAGCGTCGTGCTGCCCGTCTTCTGGATGCGCACCAGACCCACGGTCTGGTTCGCGGCGAGCGTCGGCGGGGCGGCGAGGCCGCAGGCGTCGACGTCCGCGCGGCAGCCGCGGGCGAGCAGAGCGACGAGCAGAGCGACGAGCCGCGCCAGGGCGGGGCGCAAAGCGATAAACCGAGATGCCACCATCATCGATGTCGATGCGGCATCATCGCGTCATCGAGCGGGGCAGCGTCGGACGATGGTTGCTCATCCTCACGTCCAGAGTCGACGACGATGATGAAGAACGACCCGGCGACGGACGAGTCGCCGCTGCTAAAAGCGCCGCGCGACGCCGAGGCGCCGCCGCCAAAGCGCCATGGCTTCGACGCGGGCGACGCGTCCTACGCGCTCGCGTCCTTCGGGGCCGTCGTGCGCCCCGTGTCGGCGACGATGCTCGTCGCGTCCTTCTTCGTCGTGACCGTGCGCGTCGAGACGGGGTCGCTCGTGGTCTACGACGACGACCCGGCGGACAGCGGCCTGGAGCGCGTGGGCAAGGGCGCCGCGAACGCGGGCGTCGTCGTCTGCGCGCTCCTCGCGGCGACGCTCGCGGTGCTCGCACTCTACAAGTTCCGCTGCACGCGCATCCTGCGGGGCTACATGATGCTGTCGAGCGGCCTGCTGCTCGGGCTGCTCGGGGGCGTGCTGGTCCTCGCGTCCCTCGAGGAGCTCGGCCTCGAGTTCGCGGATCTGGCGTCGTTCGGCCTCTGCGCGTACAACGGCGCGGTGCTGGGCGTCCTGGCCATCTACGAGCCGGCCTACCTGCGGTTCCCGAAGGCGGCGACGCAGGCCGCGCTCGTCGTCGTCGCCGTCGTCATGGCCTGGCAGCTGAGCCACTACCCGCCGGTGACGTCGTGGTGCCTGCTCGTCGCGCTCGCGGCCTACGACGCCTTCGCGGTGCTGGCGCCCTGCGGCCCGCTCCGCTGGCTCGTCCAGCTCATGGGCGAGACGGGCGAGCCCCTGCCGGGCCTCCTCTACGAGGCGGACCTCGACGGCGACGGCGACGGCGCCGGCGCCGGCGCCGGCGCGCCGTCGTCCGTGAAGCTGGGGCTCGGCGACTTCGTCTTCTACAGCGTCCTCGTGTCCAACGCCTTCTCGAGCCACGCCGCGAGCGGCGCGGCCTGCTTCGTCGCGACGCTCCTGGGCCTCGGCGTGACCTTTCTGCTCCTCGCGCTCCACCGCGCGCCGCTGCCCGCGCTGCCCGTGTCCATCGCCGCGGGCGTCGCGTCCTACGTCCTCGTCGAGTACGCCGTGCTGCCCCTCGCGGGCGCGCTCCGGGCCGCGCGCGCGGTCGCGTAAGGCCGGCCCGTCGACTTGCCGGTTGGAACGGCACCGTCGCCCCGTGGCGCCGATGGAGCAGGCGTAGTTGCTTCCCCCAGTAAACCATAGCGTAGCGGCCCCTGTCGTGGAGCGGGCTGGCGGTAGATGATGGATCGAAGCGCGGCGTCTCTCCGGGCCTAGACGTCGGGTCGAGCGGTCCCGAGGCGTCCTTCGCGGCACGAGCGCCATGGCGGCCGTGGCGGCGGCGACGTCCGACGGGGACGCGGGCGGTCCCGCGGGGCGCATGTCCATTGGGAACCTGGGCGGCATGCGCGTCGCCGTCGGGCCCGAGCACGAGGACAGCTGGACGTCGGGGCAGACCATGATGGACGAGATGCCCGGGCGCCCCTCCATGGGCCGCGGCTACGTCATGGAAGGCAACGCGGGCAAGAGCCTCTTCGAACCCTCCAAGTACGCGATGCACGACGACGCCGCGCAGAAGACGCTGGTGGACGAGGTCGACGCCGTGCGGAAGCGGCTGCGGGAGAGCGACGGCTGGATCATCGACCCCCACAGCCGCTTCATCCAGCGCTGGGACGGCGTGACCTTCGCGGCCCTGCTCTTCACGGCCGTCGTGACGCCCGTCGAGGTCGCGTTCAGCGGCTCCGTGTCCCTCAAGAACACGCACGAGATCCCCCTCTTCGCGTTGAACCGCATCGTCGACAGCGTCTTCATCACGGACTTCGTGCTCCAGTTCTTCATGGGCTTCGAGGACATGCACGGGCTCGTCGTCAAGTCGCACCGGCGCATCGCCGTCCGCTACCTCACGGGCTGGGCCATCATCGACTTCGTGTCGAGCCTGCCGCTGGAGACGATCATGCTCGTCATCGCCGCGGCCAAGGGGGGCGGCCCCTCGGGGGGCGGCTCCGGGGGCCAGTTCGTCAAGATCCTGCGATTGTTGCGCCTTTTAAAGCTCGCGCGCGTCATCCGCGCGTCGCGGATCCTGGCGCGGTGGGAGGCCGCCGCGGTCTTCGCGTTCACCTACACGGAGATCAGCATGTACAAGTTCTTCTTCACGCTCGTGCTCTACGCGCACTGGAACGCGTGCATCTGGGGCATGGTCGCGCACCCGGACATCGCGGGCTTCGGCTCCGGCTACACGTGGATGGACAAGCTCAGCGAGACCCAGAGCCGCGTCGTCGGTCATAGGTGCAGCTACGACGCCGAGGGCTACTACGGCGAGGCCGTCGGGGTGTCCGCGGCGAACGCGACGACCTATAAGATGCACGGCGTGCCCCTGGCGACCCAAACGGACGACGGCGGCTACGTCACGGAGCGCTTCAACAAGGCGCGGGGCGACGCGAGCGCCTGCGAGGCCATCTACGACTACTACTTCGACAAGACCATCGTGCGCCACAAGTACTGCGCGAGCTTGTATTTCGCGGTCTACACGATGACGGGCATCGGCTTCGGCGACATCTCCGCGACGGGCCACATCGAGGTCATCGTCGCGACGGCCATCATGCTCTGCGGCGCCGTCTTCTGGGCCTACATGATCGGCCAGTTCGTGACCTTGGTGAGCCACATGGACATCTACGGCAACGCGTTCCGCCAGCGCATGGACGAGCTCAACTTCATGATGGCCGACAAGAAGTTCCCGACGAATTTGAAGCGGCGCTGCCGCATGTTCCTCCTCCACTCCAAGGAGCACCAGCGCCAGGTCAACTACCGCCAGCTCGAGAAGATCATGTCCATCTCGCTGAGAGACGAGGTCGCGGCGGCGAACAACGCGTGGGTCCGCCAGGTCTGGTACCTGCGCGAGGTGACGCCGCCCTTCGTCGTGGACCTGAGCCAGGCCATCCAGAGCCTGGTCTACGCGCCGACGGAGGTCATCGACCTGGGGCTGTCGCTCTTCATCATCACGAACGGCATCGCCGCGCGCAAGGGCCGCATCATCTCCAAAGACGGCGTCTGGGGCGAGGACTTCATGCTCGACAACGTGGATCTGATCGACATGATCTGCACGGCGGCGCTGTCCTACCTCGAGGTCATCTGCCTGAGCCGGGAGAAGATGATCAAGATTCTGGCCACGCCCATGCACGAGGCGGAGCGGAAGATCATCCGCATGGCCGTCGTCTTCTACACGGTCAAGGCGCGGTTCCTCCAGATCGGCGCCGACGCCATCACGAAAAGATTGAGGGCCGAGTCGAAGAAGAACCTGGGCGCCAACACGCCGAGCCGGCGGTCGTCCGCGTGGAACGGCTTCCTCCACCGGACGGAGCGCGACGTCGACGGCGAGGAGACGGAGGCGCAGCGGACCATGCGCGAGGCCGTCGCGAAGCGGCGGCGCACGCTCGCGGCGACCATGACCTTCGTCGACGACCCGAACCCGAAGGGGCGGCCGGGCCGCCGCGGGTCCTTCCACGGCGCGGTGCAGATGGCGCGCAACGGCGATCGGCGGCCGAGCCGCGCGGACGCGAGCGGCGCGACGCCCGACCGGACGTCCTTCGGCCTGGAAGACGGCGCGCTGCCCGGCTCCAACGTCGGCTCCGCGCGGCCGTCGCTCGCGGACCCGCCGGGCGCGCCGCCGGGCGGCGACGAGTCCGACGGCGACGGCCTGTACGGCGACGACGAGTCGCCGGGCCTCAAGCGGCTCACGGTCCAGGTCACCGACCTCGCCGGCTCGCTCCACTCCCTCGCGCGCGCGTCCCGCGCCGAGGCGAAGCACCGCGACAAGCAGCAGGCCAAGTCCGACGACGCGCTCCGGGACCTCGCGGCCAAGCTCGACGCGCTCCTCGCGCGCGCGCCGCTGTCCTCCGCGCGCGGCCTCGAGCCCATCAGCCCCGGCAGCCCCGCGGACGGCTACAGCGCCGTCGCGCCCGAGGACGCCGACGACCGCAAGCACGGCCAGGCGCGCCACATCCAGGTCGCGGGCCAGCGGGGGTAGGCCGCGCGCCACGCGGCGACGCGGCCTCGCGCACCCCCCGACCTCCCCCGCCCGCGGAGCGCCGCGTTAACGACCCGCTTCTCGGACCCCGGCGCGACATATATCGGGACCTTACGCGCCGGCGTCGAAGATGAGGCTCTTCGCCGCGCCGCCGAAGAAGACGAGGGCGAGGACGTCGAGGACGAGGAGGCCGAAGAAGCCGAAGGCGACGGACGCCGTGCCGCCGGCGATGGCCCGGTCCACGGCGCCGAGGTTCCAGGACCCGTCGCCCGCGCGCCAGGCCGCGAGCGCGGCGTCGACCTTGGGCTGCGGCGCGACCTGTGCCGGGGGTGAAATGCGCGCGCGCCGACGGGGAGCGGCGCGAATGCTTGGAATCCCGAATCGTGCTCTCGCGTCCCGGAATAAGGTCGGCAGCTGGCGAAAAAGAGGCGTGCCGACGAGATAAGAGGGAGCTCCGCGTCGAAAAGGGCGGGTAAAAAGACGCCGGGCGCGCGCGCCGCTCCCGCCGGCCCAGGCGTTGAAGACGGCGTCGAGGGCGGCGTCCGGCGCGCCGCGAGTTCGTCGCGCGACGGCGGCGCGGAAGGCCGCCCTCGGCAAATAAAGCGGCTGCCCCGCGGCGGCGTCGCCCGCGTCCGCGCCGAGCGCCGCGCCCAGGGGCAGGAACGCGCCGGCGTCGTAGCTCGCGGCGAAGGCGTCGAGTACGGCGACGACGTCGTCGGCGAGGACCGCGTCCGGCGCGCCCGCGGACGCGAGCGGGAGCCGCGCCGCGCCGGCCGCGACCTTGGCCGCGTCCGTGTCGACGAAGCCGTCGTACTTGGCCGGCGCCGAGAGCTTGTCGACGGCGTAGGAGTTGATGCCGATGAGGGCCGGGATGAGGCCGCCGAAGAGCCAGACGCCGATGAGGGCGTTCTTGCCACTCTCGCCGCTGAGGCCCAGGGAGTCGAGGTCGAAGCGCAGGCGCGTCGGCGGTCGCATCGACGCCGCGCGGCCGCCGGGCGACAGCGGTCGTTCCGGCGGTCGCATCGGCGACAGGAAGGCCAGCGTCCCCGGAACGAGCAGGAGGATAGGCAGCGAGCACCGCATCGCTGCGGCCATCGATATTCCGGCTCGATCGACTGTCTCACTTCAAATTGACGTGCAACTTCAGCGAGCAGCCCCATCGGCTGCCCGCGATGGCAGCTCATTAACTGCCAGGTCGCCTACCGCCATGCCTCGCTTCGGCGCCGCCTCTCCGAAGGAGATCATCGGCAAGGTCGCCGCCTGCACGGAGGTCGTCGCCGAGGTGGACCTCAGCGGCAACGCCCTCTTCAAGATGAAACCGGGCGAGTACGGCGCGTCGCTCGCGTCGGCGCTGTCCCACAACGAATCCGTCAAGTCTGTGAAGCTCCGCAAGCTCGAGCTCGGCGACGCGGACTGCGCCTGGCTGAAAACCATCCTCGAGACGAGCAAGATCGCCGCCCTCGACCTCGAGGGGAACAAGATCAGCTCCGCGGGCGCGGTCCTTTTAGCCGAGGGCGTCGCCGGGAACGACGCGCTCGCGGCGCTCAACCTCGTCGGCAACGGCCCCTTCGGCGAGTCCTGCATGGACGCCTGGCTCGCGGCCCTGGAGAAGAACGTGACGCTCGTCGACCTCAAGTGGCGCCTCGACAGCCGGAAGTCGTTCAAGCTGAACAAGGACCTCGTGCGCAACAAGCAGATCGCGAAGCGCAAGGCCGACGGCAAGGATGTCACGGACCTGCTCCCCGACGGGCTCAAGCCCGGGGGCTTCCACCGCCAGGACGGCGTCTTCGTCCCCGCGTTCGAGGTCGCGGACCCGCACTACGTCGCCGAGGCGCGCCGCGAGGCCGCGGCGCACGACGTCAAGCTCGCCGCGACCAAGTCCACGGAGAGCTCCCTCCTCGAGGACGCGACGTCGTCCTGGATCGAGAAAGTGCTGGGCATCCGGGTCGAGGGCACGGCCGGCCTCCGCGACGGCGTCGCGCTCGCCAGGGCGGGAAACGGGCGCGACGTTCCCGACTTCTATCTCGGTCGTTTTCCACTCGTTTCGGCTGACTTTTGGACGAGCGATCGTCTCTCGGAGCGCGCTCGAAGCGTCGATGCTTGTTTTGGAACGCGCGCGCGCGGAACATGCACGTTCAAAAAACGTTGCATCACCCGGTTCCCGCCCAGGTGCTCTGCGACCTCGCGAGCGCGGCGCTCGGGTCGCGGCTCCGGACGCACCGGGCGCCCAAGCCCTTCCAGGCGCGGGAGAACGTCAAGACCTTCCTCGACGCCTGCCGCGGGGCCGGCGTCGCGGACCTCTTCGAGACCGTGGACCTCGAGGAGGGCCGCGGCGACGCGGCGCGGACGCGCGTCTGCGGATGCCTCGCGGCGCTCGCGGCCAAGTCGGGGGGCGAATTCGCCGTCGAACGGGCCGCCTGCGCCCAGATCGACGGCCTCGCCGCGCCGGAGCAGTTCGAGGCGTCGGCGGAGGAAGCGAAGCCCAAGGCCGCGCCCGCGGCCAACGCGGCGACGAGCGGGCGGAAGGCGGGCGTCGGCCTCCGCGGGTCCTTCATGGAGATGGCCATGGAGGCGGACTCGGGCTTCCGGTGAGTCGTTTCGAACATGCTTATTTAAAAAGGAAGGGCGGGGGGGAACCTAGGCGCGGTCGTGGATGAGCCACTTGTCCTCGCCGAAGCGCGTGCAGTTCGCGCCCGTCTCCTCGAGGAAGATCTTGTCGTTGTTGGACGCGTGGCAGGCGCAGACGTCGGCCTCGGAGTCCGTGGAGTAGGACGGGCACCCCGTGACCCAGTACTCCCAGGTCATGGAGCCGGCGTAGCCCGTGTACCAGTGGATGGCCTTCTCCGCGCCGTAGTCGGCCGTCGTCCGCTGGCCGACGGCGACGCCGCGCGCGGTCAGGTTGGCGTTGAGCTGGTGGGACACGGCGCAGGAGTCGGAGCCGACGTACTTGAGGCCGATGTGCTGGTCCATCCAGTGGTCCCAGCCCGCCCAGTTGTCGTAGGACCCCGCGATCTCCGCGTGCGTCTTCCAGATGTAGCTGTTGTAGTCCTCGACCGTGAGCCCCGTCTTCTCGCCGGTGGCGGGGTCCGTCGTCGCGAGGGCGTCGTTGGCCAACGCGTTGGCGACGTAGCGCACGGGCGACCGGAAGCCCTTGGCGGACACGGTCTCGATGCGCGTGATCGCGCACGCGTCCGTCTCGAGCTCCGCGTAGCTGTGGACGTCCGCGATGGACTGGAGGTCGTCGACGAGGTCGTCGTCGTCGAGCGTCTCGGACGCGCCGTGCTCCGCGGACACGGACACGCCGCTGAGCATGGGCGGGTAGTAGCCCTTGTCCGCCGCCCACTTCTGCATCGCCGTGTTCGCCGCCGCGACGTAGCCGTCGTAGGTCGTCACGTACTCGTCGAGGTTCGAGTCGAGCATGTGGGCCGTCGGGCACTCGAAGTCGCTCCAGGGCGCCCAGTCGTCCGTGCCCAGCGCGGACCGGACCTCCGCGGTCACGGGGCCCGCGATCTCGTACATGCGGCCCGCGACCTGGAAGAGGACGTGGGCGAGCTCGCCCGTCGGGCTCGCCTTGCCGCTGTAGCCGTCGGACGTCCGCAGCATGAGGGGGATCTTGTTCTCGACCATGCGCAGGTACGGCGCGGTCACGTTCGACGTGAACATGCTCACCTTGTTGTGCATGAACGCGTTCCATGAGGACAGGTCGCCGTTGAGCTCCTCGAAGTAGTCCTGCCAGTACTTGATGGGCTGGGGGTCGTTGGACAGTATGGACGCCTCGACCCAGTGGACCTGGGGCCCGTAGGACATGAGGTAGCCGTTGATCTTCACGCCGTCGCAGCCGAGGTCGAAATTCGGATCGACGTGCGCGAAGGTGTCGTTGACGAGGTCGTGCACGGCGTGGGCCTCGCCCTCGCGCACGCTCAGCGCGATCTTGTAGAGCTGGAACTGGAGGCTCGCCTTCGTCGGCGACGCGTCGATGGCCGCCGTCGACGCGACGAGGGCCGGCGCCGGCGCGCCGGCGCCGCCGGGCAGCCGCAGCAGCGCGAGGCCGCCGAGCGCCGCCGTCGCGACGACGCCGACGCAGGCGACCACGCGCTCCCGCGTCGACCAGCCCCCCCCGAGGCGCTCGTAGCTGCCCGACATCGCAGCCCGCGCCCAGAGTGTCAGCTAATCGAAGGGCACGCAAATGATTTGGTATCGGCACCTTGTCTCGTCAACATGGGTTTGCTGAACCGGCGATCGAAGGTGTGAGCCGGTTCGAGCGCCGCAGCAGTCGTAGACCGCCAACGCAGCGTTTTTATTCGCGACGCATCGGCGATGGACGCGTCGCACTCGAGCGGCGGCCAGTCGCGCGCCGCGCTGAAGCGCAAGAAGAAGCACAAGAACAAGGCGAAGCAGCAGCAGCAGCCCCTCGTGCGCGCCGGCGACGCGCGCGCGCTCGACCCGAAGCGCGAGAAGAAGCGCGCGAAGCTCGAGGCCAAGGCCGCCCGGGCCGAGCGGCGCGCCGCGGACCCGGAGGCGCCCGACGGCGCCGTGCTCGGCGTCGTCGACGCGTCCGGCGCGGACCTGCGAGACGGCGCGCTCCGGGCCGCCGCGCGCGGGCGGCCCCTCGAGGACGGCGACTCGGCCGCGCGGCGCGCGCTGCGCGCGCTGCTCGCGCCCGTCGGCGCGCGGACGTTCTACGGCGAGTACTTTGAGAAGAAGGCGCTCCACGTCCGCGGCCGCGGCGGCGGCTACCTCTCGGGCCTCATGAGCGCCGCGGACGTCTTCGCGTACCTGGAGACGGGCGCCGCCGTCGGCGGCCGGGACGCGGACGTCACGCGCGTCGAGCGCGGCGCGCGCACGACGCTCACGCGGGACGGCGAGCCCGTCGACGCCGCGTGGGCGAAACGCGCGTTCGAGACGGAGGGCGCGACCGTGCGGCTCCGGTGCCCCGCGGACTCCAACGAGCGCGTCCACGCGCTCTGCCGCTGCCTCGAGGACGAGTTCGGCTCGACCGTGGGCGCCAACAGCTACCTGACGCCCGGCGGCGCGGCCCAGGGCTTCGCGGCGCACTGGGACGACGTCGACGTCTTCGTGCTCCAGACCGAGGGCTCCAAGACGTGGCAGATCTTCGCGCCGGACGCCGACGACCTGAAGCTGCCGCGCGTCTCCAGCCAGGACTTCGACGACGAGGCCCTCGACGCCCTCTACGGGACCCTGCGCGCCGAGGTCACGCTCGACCCGGGCGACGTGCTCTACCTGCCGCGGGGCTTCGTGCACCGCGCGGCCACGGGCGCCGCGCCGAGCCTCCACGTCACGCTGTCGGCCCACCGCGCCAACGCGTGGATCGACCTCCTCGAGCGCCTCCTGCCCAAGGCCCTCGAGAGCGCGCAGCGCGGCGACTGCGGCCTCCGCAAAGCGCTCCCGCGCGACTACGCGCACTTCCTCGGCGTCGCGCACGCCGGCGACGACGGCGACGACGACGACGAGCCCGCGGACGACGACGACGACGACGACGACGGCGACGACGACGACGACGACGACGACGGCAGCGTCGCCGAGGTCGCGGCCGTCGCGTACGACGGTGAGATCCCCCGGGGCGCGCGCGCGCAGCGGCGCCGCCGCGCGGACTTCGCGCGCGAGGCCGCGGCGAAGCTCAAGGAGGTCCTCGCGCACGCCCTCGCGGCCCTCGACGACGCCGCCGACGACCTCGCGGCCGACTTCGTCGCCGAGAAGCTGCCGCCGCCGACGCCCGCGGCCGCGGCGCCGCCGGTCGCGGCGTCGTCGCGCGTCTACGCGGCGAACCGCCGCGACGCGCGGCTCTGCCTCGCGCCCGACGGCCGCGTCTTGCTCTACCACGCGCGCGCGAACGCGGTCCAGCACCGCGCGCGGCCCGTCGCGTGCCTCGAGTTCGAGGCCGACGACGCGCCCGCGCTCGAGGCGCTCCTCGCGACGCACCCGGCGCGGCCCGCGCTCGTGTCGTCGCTGCCCCACGACGGCGGCGACGACGACCGCGTCGGCGTCGCCGAGGCCCTCGTCGCCGAGGGGCTCCTCGTCGTCGCCGAGAACCACCGCGGCGGCGACGACTCGGGGGACAGCGACGACTCGGAGGACGAGTAAAAGTTGTACCGCTCACCCGTTCATGCCGACAGAGCGGGCGCGTCGTCGTCGAACTTGTCGTCGAGGCGAAGCCCAGTCGGACTCCCCGTCTGGCGTCCGGTTGTCGCGCCGTGGGGCCGCACCAGAAGGAGGGGCCCCTAGGCAACGTTGCGTCTTGCAGACGCGGCCGAGACGCGGGAGACGCGAGTTCCGGGACGCGGCAGGACGCGGCCAAGACGCCCCGGGACGCGGCCGAGACGCGCCGGAGACGCGGGACGCGGCCGGGACGCGAAAAAAAAGACGCCAGAGACCACCCCAGGACCGAACCCACGACCACGAAAGACGACCCCGGGACCGAAGCCAGACCCGCGGGACGCGAGAGACGCGCGAGAGACGCAGCCCAGACGCGGGACGCCGGCCCAGACGCCGGCCAGACGCCGCCAGACGCGGCCGAGACGCCCCAGACGCGGCCAAGACGCGACTTCCGAGACGCGCCGGAGACGCCGGAGGACCTGGCGGAGACTGCCCGGGGACTTAGCGAAAGACGCCCAGACCGCGCGTTGCCTAGGGGCCCCTAGAAGGCCTACAAAATCCACACGTTGAAGCTTCATTGAGGGCTTGATCGAGCAGTAGTCGGAGACGTGTAATTCAGGTCCGCTCCGCGACCAATTCATCGACGCGTCGACTGGGCGCGATGCTTTTTTTGCTCCTCATCCTACAAATCATCAACGCTAAGCTCGACCGCTCGAAGATCATGCGCGAGCTGAACCGGTCTGTCTACGCCTACGACGGCGTCGACGCCACGGACCCGGCGCGATATCTGCGGGACTATCTCTGGGTGAAGTCGTCCACGGTGATGATCCTCGATGGCGTCGTCGTCGTCGACAAGCATTTCATACACTACGCGGCGACGCAGGAGAAGATCGACAAGCACCTCGCGTTCGTGACGTCCGTCGCGGCCGGTGTCGCTCCGTACCGCTTTTGACGGGCTACGAACCTATGACCTACGCGCCCTCGTAGGTCGCGGCAGAACTGCCGAACGCCGTCTACCAATTTTCCGACGATTCCACGGGCGTCTGCCACGCGGGCGACCCGTGCCTCGTCATCGCCAAGTCCCACGCCGCGCGGGACGGCGTCATGATCCCGAACCCCTACTTTGCGAACGTCGACGACTGGCGAGACTTTCGGGCCGTCCTCCAGCGCGCGGCGAATGCACGACCGTGGGAGCACCGACGCAAGCGCGCGTTCTGGCGCGGCAGCATCTCCCCGCACGACGACAAAAACCACCGCGAGGCGGACTGTTTGAAGAACTTCGGGTCGTTCGCGCGCCTCGCGGCCGCCGCGCAGACGCTAGCGGCGCCGCACGAGGTCGACGTGAAGTGTCTCTCCCACGCGCCGCCGCTTCCCTGCGCGTTGCGCAAGGACCCCCACTTCTGCGACGGCGTCGCGGGCGCGCCGCCCCAGAACTACACGGAGGCCATCGCGGCCGCGGTGCGGCATCCGGAGAAGATCACGGCCAAAGCTCCCAGCGACCAGGTCGACTACGCGGCCTACCGCTTCCTGCTGAACCTGCCGGGGTCGACGCACGGCTCCTACTCCTGGAACCTCAATCACCTCTGGTCCCTCGGGAGCGTCGTGCTCCAGTGGGACATGGACGCGGTCGAGTTCTACTACCCGGCGCTCGAGGACGGCGCGACGCACGTCGTCGTCGACGCCGAGACCCTCGCGCCCACGGTCAAGGCGCTTCAGGGCGACGCGGCGCGCGCCAAGGCCCTCAGGGACGGCGCGCGCGAGGTCCACCGCGAGGTCACGTGCCCCGAGTGCCTCGCGGGCTACTTCGGCGACGTGCTGCGCGCGATCCGCGAACGGTGGGGCACGGCGCGCCTGCTCGACGACCCCTGCGCGCTGCGCGACTTCTTC